CGAACCAGTAGGTAGAGAAGAGCTCAAGGAACACAAGGCCCAAACACAAGCTAAAGCAGTTGTAAGGATGATCAAGAGCCCAGGAACTTTGTCTTTTGCAGCTTTGTTGTTTGCAGGAATTTCAGGTATTTCGGACAGTCTTCAGATTCAGAGTTTCAAGGAACAGTGTTTTGAGAGTTGTGTTCAAGAAGAAGAGTTTCAGGCAGATTTTCAGGAACATGTTCTCTGTTGTGCAAGTGCATGCGAGCAGGACGGCATATGCAGTGACACGAGTGCATGTGAGCTAGGAACGTTTACAGGAACAGCTCATGGAACAACATGTAGTGAGATGCTTTCGCAGCTCAAGGAACTCTGCGGAACACTCGCAGAACGCTCAGGTATCCAGGAACTAGTACGCCCAGTAGCAGGTCAAGGCACCTTACCAGGAACCTCAGCAGCCATGGAAGCGAGCGCGAGTTCGAGCAAAAGCTCAGAAGAGATCGTCAAGGAACTTCAGACCTTGAAGGAAGCGGCAGTCACGTTGAAGACTGCTACAGAAGAAAGGAACTTGATCGCGGAGTCGATCAGGAAGAACACAGAGGAAGCTGCGCGTTTGCGCAAAAGTCAGGAACACGTTGCGGGATGTGTGGAAAGTTTGACATCCCAGATTTATAGCGTGAAGCACCAGGTTCAGGAAATGGCCGAAGAGAACGAAAGAGACCGGAAGCAGGTCAAGGAACACATGAACTTCGTCCTAGGTACATGTGATTCCGTGAAGGAACAGCTGAACCAGATGATGCAGGACTTCTACGAACAGCAGCAAGAAGAAGAAGAAGACGAAGAGGAACAAAGGAAAAGAGAAGCCAAGGACCGAGAACTAGAAGGTGAACTACGTCGTGAAGGACACGGACAAGGAACAGCACCTTCGAGAGCTAAGTCACCTACCTCCCAGGAACACAAAGGAGAAGACGATATAAGGAACTGGTCAGACAGGAGCTACTTCGACAGACTCCAGGAACAGGAAGAAAGCCAGGACTACTTCGACGAGAACGAGAACGAGGCCTACGTGGACAGCTACGTTGGAGGAGAAGATCCCGGGGAGTACCCCGAAGAAGCCAAAGCAGAAGAAGGAACAGCAGCAGCAGAGGAAGAAGAAAGCGAGGAAGCAAAGGAAGAAGGAAGGAAGAAGAAGATCGCGGAGATCAACGCCAAAAGCAAGCAAAGGCTAAAGGAGAAAGAAGAGGAAAAGAAGCAGTTTCCGTACCCCTACGACTACAGCAGCGAGTGGAAGGAATACTCCGAGAACGGCGAGATCTACAAGCAGCACAGAGTCACAGGAGAAAAGATCCACATTGACAAGGACTACACGTACAAGCACGAGAAGGGAACAAAAGGAAAGAAGGAAGGAAAAGGAAAAGGAAAGCCAAAGGCAAGAGCAGAAAGCTCAGGATTTCGACCTCGAGATGAAGATGATCGCAAATATTGGAACGAACAGGACAAGATCTCAAAGGAGCAGAAGGAAGCGAAAGCCAAAGCAGAAGAGGAGAAGAAGGCAAAGGAAGAGCAGATTGCCAAAGCCAGAAGGATTTTGGAAGAAGCAGCAGAAGAGCAGGAAAAGCGAGACAGAGAGCAGGCAAAAGCAGAAGCCGCAGCAGCCGCCGAGAGAAGGCGAGAGGTAGAAGCGGCAGCCAAAGCAAAAGCAGAGAGAGAGGCAAAGGAAAAGGAGGGGACAGAAGCAGCAGCCGCAGCAGCCAAAGAGGAAAAGGAAAGAAAGGAACAGGAGAAGAAAAGAAAGGAGAAGGAAGCCAGGAAGAAAAGAGAGGAAGACCAAAAGGCAGCGTCAGCGTACATTGCCAAGAAGGAAGCAGAAAAGAAGGCAGCAGCATCAACAGCAACAGGATCAGGAGAAGCAGACAGGATCCAGAAGCTTGAAGAAATGATGAAGGAGATGATGAAGGAACGCAAAGAGGATAAAGAAAGAATTGCAAGCCTTACACAGGAGCTTGAGAGCAGAGGATCAGCAGCCGGGTCGCAAGCACCCACGGAACCAGACACAACACCAGCAACACCAGCAAAGGAAGAGGAGAAGCCAGAAGGAAAAGGAACAGGAAAGGAGCCACCGAGTGTTACACAGCAGCAGCAAAGGAAAGGAGGAAAGGACGACCCAGAACTTTCCGCCAAAGGACCAGTGAACGAAGAATCGTTCATGAAGGGCAAAGGAAAAGGAGAGTTTGAAGGAAACTGGTTTGCAGTCTACGGTTTCCAGAACAGGAACTACCAGTGGAAGTGGAACGAAGTCAAGACGCAGTGGTACTGGTATTCCGGATCAAAGGAAACAGGTTGGAAAGCAGGATCAAGAGATAAGCAAGGAAAAGAGAAGTGCATGTCACAAGCAAGGCAGCGTGCAGAGTGGCTAGAGCAAGAACTCAAGGAACAGAAAGAAGTCAGCAACGAAGAAGAAGGAGCAAAAGTCTACAAGGTCGACGACGGCGAAGTGACCTTCCAGTGAAGCAAAGGAACAGCGAGCAGTACTGAGGCCAGAGAGCCGAGGAAAGAAGAAGCAGGACACAGGAACCGTAGCACAGCCCTTTTTGTTTCTGTGGTGATCTAAGTATAGTAAAGGAACGTCTTTTGTACAGTCGAGCAACCTTGGAGAGGATTGCGAGTGAACATAGGAAAATATGTTTGCGATGAGGCAGAGTGTTTGTTTTGCAAGTGAAAAGGAACTGCAGTGTGTTTACTGTTGACAGGAAAAGTCGGAGTCACCTCAGTCGAGGAACTTTCGCTAACTCCGAAGGCGGGGTGTTAAACATCTTGCCAGGAACAGTAACACAGTTAGTGCAGTGCAGTTAATGTACAGGAACAGCCGTCACGCACACGCGACGTGCTAGGCTCGAGACCAGCGGACACAGTGACCCACAAGGAAAAGTGACCGCTTCAGTTTGAGAGTAGGAAGCTTAGTGAAGCCCGTTCTTTAACAGATTTCGTCGTCAAGAGCTTTGCACAAACGGATTCCGCGCCAGAATTGTCGCAGAAAGAAGGCATCGAGATTCTCATACGCCCGCCTGGGCATAGGTGGCCAAAAAGAAGCATAAGGCCCACTTGAGCCAATGTTTCCCAGCAAGAGATGTCCTTCTGCGCTTCCGCGTGCAACGGAAGCTCCAAGTACTTGAAGTCTGCCAGATCGTAACGCTCGGAGAACCACAAAGGTTCCGAGTCAGGCAGCTTGATGAAGCCGCCAATGCCAATCGAAGTACCCTGTGCGCAAGCATCTGCCGCCATGGTTGCCTCCAAAGACCGCTGAGGCAGCATCAAGCATTCATGGAACATGTAAGAGCCGCACCAATCGAACCAGAATTGCAAAAGACGCTTGCTCAGCAAGGATAAGCGTCGAAAGCGATTGAGGATCCGCAATCCGCATCCACACACGTTTGGATGTGAGTGGAACCCTAGCCAAGTCTGATTTCTTGTGCAATTCCACGTGCCTCGCACTCAACAGCTTGGAACCCACAGGAATGGCCGTGCCAGCAGGAGTGGAGATGAAGATCATAGCATCCGACAGGCAGGGAGCCAAAGTGCTCCAACGGGCAGGATCAATGGAAAAAGAAGTCCCCGGCGGCCTGGAGATATCATCATACAGACAAGAAAGCCAGGGACGAAGCTCCTTGTGAAGTTGAGTAATCCATTGAAGAAGACCCAAAGCTTGTTGGATCGTCTTCAGCTCCACACGGCCGTCACCAAGAAGAGGATTCAGAAGGCCACGAAGTTTCGCACGTTTAGACTCCGGAACCCTAACCGTACCTGCCCTGTACGACAACTGCCATCCTATCCAAAGACAGTCCGAACCAAGCTGCAATTTTGGCCACGACAACCTGATCCCAAAGGATGCCGCAAATGCAAGAAGGAGACACGCCGAGATGTCCAAGGCGCCAGAGGCCATGGCCAGGATCAAGTCGTCCACGTACATGGACATGAAGTGCGCCAGGAAAATCAGAAGATGCCAAGTTCGCATGAAGAAACCCGAGAGGCGCTGCCACCAGTACGCCGAACAGCTCATGCCGAACGGCATGACCCGGTAGAAGTAGGTCTTGCCATTGCAAGTTATCCCAGCCAAACCACGGTCCCGCTCTTGCATGAGGATGCTTTTGTGCGCCGCTTTAATGTCTAGCGAGAAGGAACGAAGTTCCGAAACCTGGCCTCTCAGCGGATAGCTGGATTGCAGATCGCCCAGACCAGGCAGGTTGTAACGCTCGGGAATGTGACAGGCCGGATTCACTCCAGAGATTGTCTCATCCACAGTCAAGCGCGGATTTTTATCCGGGACAAGAACAACATTGAGTTTCCCAATGGCAACTTCTGGCCATCTGGAGCGAGCCTCATCAATCGGGACCTCCTCCAGATAGCCGTTATCCAGCTCTTCCTGAATCAAGGCATCCAGAGTCTCTGGGTTGTCGCGAGCCCCCTTCCAATTCTCAGTGCACTCCAGCAAAGGTTGCTCCTCCGAAACTTCGTCTTGAGGAGCCGGCACAAACACTCCGCTTTTGGGAATGTTCTTGAAGTACCCGGTGGGTGCCCCAGATTGAAGGCAGGAGAAAAGAGTTTCATCTGGATCCTCCACGGCCTCAGAGAGCTGCTGCAATGCTTTCAGAGTGTAAGGTTGAAAAGGCTGAATCGACCAGTCCACCGGACGGCCCGTGGAGGCCTCCAATAAATCCGAAAAAATTGCCCGAAAGCATTCAAGTTGGGTGCGCGTGTAAGGTGCTCAGGAGTCACGGCCATCATGTTGTGGTGGTCTAGAACTGTGCGATTGGAGATACGTCAGGAAACATCAAGCTTGCATCTTGTTCAGTCAGACGGCTGCTGGTGTCGTAACTGTGTTAGAATGCCTTACGTGTTCGAGACTGTCTGGTCTGCGCAGGCATCATTTTGTCAGGCACATCGTGTAGCCAGGGTGGTTGGCCACCATTGTCATAGGGCGATGACGGAGGGCGAGCCGGAAGCTCGTTTCAGTGGCTGTAGCGATGCTTCAGGGCGCGCACCTTGCTAGCCTTCGCAAGTTTGAGCGCAAGTTCATCAAACTGGCGACGCAAAAATGTGAGGCGGGCATTCGCAATCCGTTTGCTGAGGAAATCATGCAGGCAGATCGTCAGCTATGGTGCCAGATGGCCGATCTGGTAAACTTGCATGGCTGGTCTTTGGATGACGCATTGACGGAATACACAGAGATTAGGGGCGACATCTATTCGTTGCTACAGGCTCGTGTGGCGGTCCCCAAAAAATGGGACCTCCCGCCAGGCTCTCGCCGGCTTCCTGGTGGCAAGGGCAAACAGAAGGGCGGGGGTAAGGGCCGTGGGGCGAATGCCGGTCAGACGGCTCCGTCTGGGGCTAAGTGGATTACGAAGTTCGAGGACAAGGGCAAGACTCGTTTTCTTTGTCGGGATTACTCTTGGGCAAAGGGCTGCTCTTTCACGGATTGCAAATTCGAGCATTTGTGCCCTGTGCCTCGCCCGGATGGCAGACCTTGCTTGGGCAAGCACCCGGCGCATCAACACAAGGCGATGCCGCACTGACTCTCGGATGATGCCTCGGATGTCAGGACGGGCCGCTTGGATGCAGCGGAGATGCAGGCGGACACTTCTCAGCAGCCTCTGGATTGGGAGACTTGCCTTTCAGTTTTGCAACAACACTGTCCAGGGCAGACTCAGTTGATGAGGAACAAGGTTCTGGATGGTGGCCGGGAGCACGCAAGCTACTTCAATGCTGGGGTTCGCTCGGGCTCCCTAGGCGGACTTTGTCGCTTCACCATGGAAAATCCAATGCTGGTGAAGTACATCAATCTTTTCTTGAAATCAGTTTTTCCCACAGCTACGTGGTCTAGTTTCTGCATATCGCACAATGAATTCGCTCATCTTCATTCGGATTTCAACGCCCCAGGGTCGCTGAATCACTCGTGCAGCTTGGGGGCTTTTGACAAAGGGGGCTTGTGGATTCAGATGGATTGTTCTGAGTACCCGGATCTCCCGAGATGTCCGCCAACCGATGCGCAGGCGGATCAATCTTTGCGGGGTTGCATTTTCAACACTCGCCGATCGGGTTTTTCTTTCGATGGCTCTCTGCCTCACTGCTCAGAGCCCTGGACAGGGGATCGATGGGTCCTGACAGCATACACTTCAGCCCAATTGCCAGGCGTTTCGCAGGACGACTTGCAGCAGCTGAGGGAGTTGCACTTTCCTTTGCCGAATTTTGCGGAGCAGTTGGAGTCTGGAAACACAGCGGAGGCGGTGCTTCTTCCTTCACCCCCATCAGTTCTTGATCTCTCCAAGGTTCGGGGCAATCTTTTCCTGGACTTGTTTGCGGGTCACGCTCGGCCGCTGTCTTCTGCATTTTTGCAAGCTGGGGTATCTGTTATGTCGATAGATACGTTGTTGTCTGCAGAGCACGATCTTCTGGATGATTCAATTTATGAGCCGCTTCTTCGGTTGTGTTACTCTGGAGCAGTCACTCTGGCGCATGCTTCGCCACCGTGTAAGGAGTACTCACGGTGCAAATTGATTCAGCCTGGTCCCAAGCCGTTGCGAACTCCCGAATACTTGTCAGGGGTCCCAGGTCTTTCGCCACCAGAACAGGAGAGAGTGGTGAACAGCCGGACCTTGATGCAGCGTGCATCCGAACTTCTTCATGCTTCCTATAAGGCTGGCGGCCACTTCAGCCTGGAAAATCCTGCTAATAGCATGCTTTGGCTAGAAGAACCCGTCCGTCTACTTCTTCAGAAGGCAAGCGCTGATGTTCTGGTAGTGGCGGCTTGCGCTTACGGTTGGGACATTTCGAAACGCTGGGCTTTCGCTACTACATTTCGAGACATGCAGCAGCTGGCCAAGGATTGTACTCACGCTGAGGGCACTCATCGGCCGGTTGCAGGGGTTCTAGATGAATTTGGAGGTTTCGTCTCCCAACAGACTTCTGAATTTCCCGCGAAGCTCGCGGATGCCTATGTCGCTGCAGCTTTTCCTCTGTTTGCTACGGCTGAGAACCCGGTGGACGTTCAGCTGTCTCAACTGTATCAGCTTCTCCCAGCCAAGGGTCGCTTTGACATGCCTTTTGCACATCAAGATGGCGCTGGCATTTTTTCTGTCCCCGACTGGTCTTTTCCTCCGAGTGGGACAGTGGACAGACTGCAACAGATTCGGTTGAGGCATTTGTGCAAGACCGCTTGAACGTACTGCATATAATCGACTGTCCTGGTCTTTTCTGACAGCCCAGCCGATGCAACCAGTGCAGTCCCTCAGTCCCGGATGTATACCGATCGCCAGCTTTCACACAAAAACAGTCCCCTCGATGCCCGGCTCGCTTGCCGTAACATGCGAGGATCGCCATACCCGACAGTGCAGTTTGCAAGGGCCTTGCGAATTGAACGAAGCAGCCCCAAACGTGTTCACTATGACACGAAAACCGCCTGACATGCTTTATGTCGGCAAAAGCGAGGACTCGGCGGAAGCTCAGGCCTGATCTGCATGTTGTGCGCCAGAGTGCCACATCGAGGCTTAACCCGAACCAACTCGCCATCCTCACGCCTGACCAAAATCCCATCGCAACCAGAACACGGAACAGCAGCGTGGATGATGCCCGAAGAAGTCTGCACCCATACCTGCTCTTCAGCCGCAAGACGATCTTTGTCTGCACCAAAAGTCTCCCCTTTACTCTTACCGGATTCTGAAGAGGAAGAGGAAGACGATGATGAATCGATGTCCGAATCTGAGGACTCCTGGCGTGCTGACGGTCTGGAAGAAGCCGTCTTCTGCTCCTGAGCCTGGGCCGAAATTGCAGCCGCCAAAGAGCCATTCTCCACCGGGAAGCGATGATGAGCCGGTGACGACGAGTATGACAAAACCTTAGGCTCAATGGCTTGTTGTGCAGCCGGTTGTTGCCCACCGCGAGCCTGTGGGTTCAGCGGCATCCAATCGCTACGAACCCGATCCCAAAAAAGCTGTTGCAGAGACAACGCACCGTGAACATCATCCCTGCTGTAAAGAAGAACACAGCCGTTCTGCCCAGATCTGTGGTGCCCTTGAAGACCTCGTTTGCGGAATGAAACCTGCAACTGTGCCAAGGCTGCCAGAAGGCATGTCTTCAGTGAATGTAAAGTGTATGAAGCCGCTTCTGTAGGACTCATGCCCGCCAAAACCAGAATGCCCCTGAAAGCGGAGAGTGCCTGCGCGTAGCTCATGGGCTGCCACTCCAAGTCATTCGAAATGAAGAACAGGGCATCCGGCACTGTTTCCCCGAAGCGCGAAACAATCGAATCCCATTCAGAGCCCAGCAAGAAAAGGTATTTGCAAACCCAGCTGTGAAAATAAGACCCTGAATCGCCGTAGTACCCACAGGACACCCAGCCGAAAGGCATGCCTCTCCGAGAAGACTTCGTTCGGTATGAGATAGCCCGGACATTATCTTGAGCAGCTTGAATCGATGTCCATAAGATGTGTTGCGCGTCAGAGAACCGGAGGCTGGCCGAGGCCGTAATAAGAATAGCCCCCAAGAAGAGTCTAAACCCCACCGAACCTGATTCCAGAAGCAGGGCCCGCTCACAATAGGCCAATACGAACAGCGGAAGAGGGAGAGCTTCCCTTCTATCAGAAGTAATGCGAGCCTCCACTCCAACCAGAAGGCCTCCGTAGAGATCAGGCAGAGCGAGCCCAAACGTCTTGGCCGCCCAGCGAACTGCCTTCAGCCCGTTGGTGACATGTTAGCCTGACTTGTGCATGGAAAGGAGAGCATCGACCACTTCCAGCTGTCTGATAGCTGCCCAGTTTGCATTCAAATCCTGTAATGTGCCCAAAAATTTCAGCAAATGGGAAAGATAGCGAACCAAAGTGCTTTCCGAAACTGACTTCAGCAGATTTTGCAACAGCATGGACGCGTGTCGAGACTCCCCAAGCTCCTGCAATACCGATGAAATAGTCTGCAACAATGGTTGAACCAGGGCCCACAGCTTCAAGCACTTCTGCCAAACTTCTGCATGCAACATTGACGATGATTTGAAGCCCTCAGACCCCCGAGCGCGGGAGCCACCAGACCCCACGGCCTGTGCAATGAAAGGCCTGGGAAGAGAAGCTGCCGAAACCCCACCAGCTGAGACTCCTGAAATAATCCGCAGCCCTGCGGGGAGGCGGAACAGGGGCAGGGTTCTCCCTAATGTACTGCGTCGCAAGTCGAGGCCTCACTGTGGGAGGTGACAAGGGATTGGGCTCAATCGAGACTCCACGAGGTCGCCTAGAAGCTTCTGACAGTCGCACCGGACGCATGGCCCCCGAAAGTGAGGGCCGACTCACATGCTGCAGTGGCATGAGTGGCTGCACAGCTTCACTCGCTCCCTCTGAAGATGGCCCCATTGAACTCAAACGCCACCAAACGACAGTCAGACCGGGGCCCCGCCCCACGATGCGAAGAGAACCACCTGGCAGCCGGAGCAGCTAGGAAAGTGACATGTGGAAGCGCAGCACGGTGGCTACCAAGACCGACTGATTTGCGGAGTTCAGGCTACCGGCGAAACCCGCAACCCCTGTAAACACAGCCCAGCACGGCCTGATGCAGAACATGAGGGGACACCCCCCCCTGCTACGAGCACTCCTAGATACTAGACACCACTGTGCTAGTGCAAGCATTCAGCTTAACGTCAGATTAAGAATCCCTGCATGTGCAACACCTGTCGCATGGTGCAATGAACCGCATGAGGCTCTGACCATAACTGTGGCTCTCAAAGCACTTTCAGCCCGCCGAGCGCGGAAAAACAAGGAGTTTGCTCACCCCCGACGCAAGAACCAATCAAGCTTGACTGTCACGCATAAGTGCAAAGCATGCTCGCTATGCACCGCATAAAAAGTCCCACAGAAGCTTCTGTGATCGCCGCGACTTTTCACAAACCCCTCGTTGCGCCGGTGCTTGGCAGCAGAAAGACCGCCCTGACCTAGCTAAAGAGCGCCGAGACCGCCACCTTCCAGGACGGCGGTCGCATAGCCCCCAAAACTTAAGATCTCCTTGCCGAAGAGACCAGCCTGCCCTCCAGCAGATATCATAATAATGCCAAAATGGACCAAAAAGAAGCGCAAGCAGCGAGCCGAGTTGCCGATTTGCCTGGCTTGGGAGCTGAGATGCTATGCAAACCGGCTGGGAAGTCGATGAAGCCTTAGGCAGCACGTCGACGGCGCAAAGAAGCAGCAAAGCGGCGAGAGAACTTGCCCTGCAGTACCAAATGAAGAGTACGGCGGTAGTTCCGCAAAGCAAAAGCCTCCAGACTCTCTGCATGGTACAGCCGTTGACCTCCAGATCGTAAGTGGATGGTAATACCAACCACATGCCACGCTGGCCAGATCCCACCAGCCTCCTGGCATGTCGCCGCAGCAGAGTTAAGTATCGAAGTGAGCGGCTGATCGCTAGCCCAGGAAACGGAGCTTGTCAAAATGCCGTCCATGACAACCCCAGCATCACCAGCAACAGGTGGGGCGAGTCGCTCCCTGGCACGGAGCTCTGCTGCCCACCGTTTCCCAATGGCCTCAGCCTGGCGAGCCTCCTGACAGGGAGACTCGCAGACAACCAGCTCATCACCAGATGCATCTGCAGCGGGGAAGATATCCCCTCCAGGAAAAAGGTCAGCAAGACGATGCTCATTGGTGTCGCTGGGCGACGACAAGTGGCTGCGTGCCACCCGATCGGAGCCAGAACCCAAAAAATCCTCTGTAGCGCCACCTGAAGTCCCTGACCCAGTATCTTGCAGCAGACCTGGAAATACATCTGAGATGAACCCAGCCGCAGGTGAATCCTCAGCAGAAGCCATTACAGATCTAACGCCCCAAATATACACGCTGCAATCGTCGGCGATCTCCTTCAGCTAAGTCTGAAATGGACAGCAAGAGCACCCGCAATGTCCGAGAGCAGTTCTGCAAAGCACCACTTTCCGAGAGGCCTAAAGACAGCAGTATGTAGCTCGAAGTCCTTGTGCCCCCCAAGAATTGATGTAATTCCAGACCCAGCACCGCAGATCTCCAGCCCGTGACCTCAAGGCCCTCGTGCAACAACACGAGTATCAGCCTCCTGCGAGGCACTGGTGCCGCCGCGCGCATGGGCGGCTCCAAACGGAGCCCGAGTCAGCTTAATATACCGAAAATTAAGCATGATCTGTGTGCAAGTGGAAAGCAGCTGTGCAGTCTAAAACTGACCAACAGACATGAAGCAACACCTCCCTAATGCTGATCCATGTCAAAACGCCGAGAAAAAAGTTGAAGCTCGATCTGGAGCCGCCAAGCTTCAGCATTCGAGATGCATCGCCATGCTCCAATCTCAAGACAAGCCGCATGCAAAATGAGGGAATACAAAATTGGAAAACACCGACCGCAAGGAAAACAAAATGGTTTGATATTTAAACAGGATCGAGTAAACACGATAGCCGGCCTTCATCAGCTAAACCCTTAAGGCTCAAGCTTGTGCCTTGGCGATCTGCGGAAACCCTCTGTTCACCCACATTGTCGCTCGAACTGCACACACCGTCATGCACAACCGACCGACCAACCAACCGACCATGCATGCCAAGCACACGCTCTTCAGACTCACTGCACGCAGGTTGCACTACAGAAACTGGCTGCACCGAAGAGTCACTAAAACCTGGCTGCACCGACTGGCCTCGATCGGAAGACGTGGCCCCCGAGCACAAAGGTGAAGAAGATGAATCCACATGCTCCTGGCACAAACGGCGATCCTGACAAGGCTTTCCTACGGCACTCGACTGCAAAAGCTTTACCACTCTAGCAGGCAACTGACCTACCAACTGCACTCCAGAGCTGCCGCAAGACGATTGACCTACCAACTGCACTCCAGAGCTGTCGCAAGACGACTGACCTACCAACTGCATACCAGAGCTGTCGTGAAAAATCATGCCCATGCTGTGAAAAATCATGCTCATCATGCGAAAACTCATGCTCATGCTGTTTCTCAGGCGAGGAAAACTCAAAAGACCGACCACTCGACAGACCGGAAGACGACGAGACACTCGCAAGCGTGAGCTTCGCGGAAGAATCAGCCATCACACTCTGAAGCCATGTGCAGTCGCCGAACACTGCTAGAAGCAGCGTCACCTCCTTACGTTCCGCTGTTAAGAGACCCCGGTAAAGGGTAGGCTTCCAGCCTCTCCAACAGAGGAGGTTGAGGTTTATCAGGTTATGTT